TATATATATATATAGAGTCTATATGAACTAATTGGTTGCCTTTGGGTCTCTGCTAATGAAGTACAAAAGTACTTAACGAAATTAGCGCAAGACAAATATAAACATACTATTTATGCAAAAGCGAAAATATGAGAATGGCTTTTGTACCTGGGCGCCAGCCAAACAATCCAATTGGGCGCAATATTTAATTACAACTTTGGTTCTACGCCCTGTTTATGGCAGGGACTTTAACTTTTCTTCGAGATGAAGAAAGAGCAGAGAGAGAGAGAGAGAGTGAGAGAGAGAGAGAGAGAGAGCGAGAGAGAGAGAGAGGGAATTTCTTAACGTTTTTGGGCAAAGTTGTTGCCTGGCAGCAATTTGCATAAAATGCCAAGCGAAAAGCGACAAAGTCGACACAATAACTCAATTCGCAGCGAGAACAAAAGTAAAGCCCAGGATAAGAGCGCTGAACTTCCTTCAGCCAGGATGGAGTTTAGGCAACTGTTTGGCAACTATTTTGCGGTGACAAGTTTGACGGAACTCCCAGCGGCTAAGTATCTCAAAATATTTGAAATATTTGCAACTATTCAAATGTTGACATAGCCAACAGTTTTGCCGTTGCTCCTGCTGCTGCTGCCACTCCTCCTGCTCCTGCTGCTACTCCTGCTGGCAGCAACTACTTATGAAAGGGCTCCTGTTTGCCAATCGTTTGGGCCAATCAAATTTCGCATTGTTCGTGCTCATTACACAGGTAGCGCACAGAGGACAAACTTTCTTCCTTTTCCATTTGCAATTAGCCTACAAAAATAAACTCAACTTCCACTTCTACCATAAAGTCCTTAAATTGTGCCCCAATTTACGTTAGTTGTTGTTTAATTAGTTCGTATACTTATGTCCCTAAATATATGCTATATGAAGTAATCAGTAGCTCCCACATTTTTCCTCTCATAATACTTGTTGGGGGTATTTTTTATATATATATAAATGTAATGTAGTGCTTATTTGTTTTGATTCCTTTGTCTCATTGGTTTCTGATAAGTTGAAGCAATAATTTGTAAAGTTTAATTGAAATATCTGCAACTACTAAGAAACTTATTCTTTAATCAGCGGCAATTAATATTCTTATCAAGTAATTTTTGATTCGCTTAATCTTCTATTCGTATAGTTCGTCTCGCTTAACTAATAAGCAGTTCTACTTGACTTTTCTTCCATTTCTATTTCAATTAACTAATTAAGACTTCTTTTTTTATGTTCATGAAGAGCTGCTGCTTTTCCTATTTTTTCTCTTGCTTTGACCGCAATTTGTTGGCCAAACTCGTCTTGACTCGAATCGAATTTCCATTAGTTATTTCGATATTCGTTCTCTCTAATTTGAATCAAAGCCTTGACGCAACTTGCAGTTAGCAAAACTTTGGCCAACAAAGGCGACCACGAGCTGCCGCAGGTCCTGCCATGCTCGAGCAGCTGCACGGCTCCTCCGACCGTCAAGTCAAAGATAAACTTTTGGCCAGAATGTATTATTAAATTTCGCGCAGACACCAGCAAATGCCGAGCACTCGCAGTCGCAGTCGCAGTTGCAGTCGCCACAAGCCGCGCCGTCAACGGATTTGGCAAGAGCTGCTTAGCGGACCGCAACAGGGCGTCAACTGCAGCTCTATATATGGGTGGCGATGCTGCGGCTCGGCTGCAGTTCCGTGCGCACCGTGCCGGTTGACGAGGAGGACGAGGATGTCGTCGAGTTGCACCAGGAGGCGGTCGAGGCCGATGAGCCACTCGAGATGGTGGAGTCTATGCGTGAATTTGATGCTGTTGTGGCATCCGCTGTCGGCTGGCTGTCAGCCGGCGACAGCTCCTTGCTGGATGCCTGCCGCTGCAGTTGCGGTATGCGACTGAGCATGGCTGGGGCTGGGGTCGGGGCCGGCGCCTTAGGCGCCGAGCTTTGTTCGCACGCAGTGGCAGCTGCCGTTGACACCTGCTGTGTGACAGCTGGCGTCTCTGCTGTCGCCGCTGCTGGCGTCGCTGCTGCCGTCTGCAGCGGGCGCGGTATTAGCGACGTCCTCGAGGCTGACTTCATGGGCTGCGCATAGACATCGCCGTTGGGCGCTGACCAGCTGCTGCCCGGCATGGAGCCGACGCTGGCACTCGCCGCTATGGCATAGACGCACTCGGTGCGCTGTCCCTGGGGCGGTGTTGCCTCGTGCGCCGGGGGCACCGACTCGAACGACTGGAATGAGCCACTCAACGTGCTCAACGGCGCGTCTGGTCCGCCAGGAGTCGGCGGCTTAATCCGCTTAAGCGAGGCCGCCGGCGATTTCGGCACAATGGGGCCCACAATCAGCGTGTTCTGCGTGATGGGCGGCTCGCGCGGCTCCTCCTCGCCGCAGTCCTGGGCCACCATAAGCGGGGATGTGGTTATGTTGCTGCTGTCGCGCCGCCGCCGGCCCAGTGTGCTGCTGATGGTGCGCGGCGGCGGCAGCGGCGCCGTGGCGTAGTTCTGCGGCGGCAGCGAGTTGCGCTTGTAGCTGTGGCTCGCGCGCAAATCCTGCGCCGTGGGCAGCACCTTGGGGTAGTTGCGTTGGCGCAGCAGCTCCAGCTGCTGTGCGGCGCTGAGGGGCTGCAGCACCAGCGCCGCCTCGTCGCGGCTGGTCACATTGATGTCCACATCGTCGGCGTGCACAAAGCTGGTGACCTGCTCGTCGGCGGCCAGGATCATGTCCACGGGATCCGAGTGCGAGTGGCAATGCTGTGGCTGCAGCGCCGCCTCGCAGGGCTCGGTCAGCGCCGAGTGCTGGCGCTGCAGCAGCAGCTCATAGTGCACGCCCTCCTGCCCCTCGTGCATGTGCTGCGGCGTCAGCAGCGCTGCGTCAACCACCTCGATGTCCTGGCAAATGATGATGCGCCCGTCGCACTGCACCGCCGCCGCCGGCGGTGGCGTCGTGTTGAAGCTGCCCGCCTTGCTGGCCAGCGCCTGCTGGTGCTGCGTGGCGGACATCCACTCGCAGACCTTGGTGTGCGTGTCCACCGTGGAGCTGCTCAGCTGCCGCTGCATGGCATAGCCGTTGATGGGCGAGCGCTGGCCCGTCTTGATGGCCTCGTATGTGTTCGACTTGCGCACAATGTCCAGGATGTAGCTCTCGTCGCCGTCGCGCGACTTGCTGCAGCGCTTCAGCTCGTCGTCGTTGGCGCCGTCGTAGCTGAGGATGTTGCCGCCCAGCTTGCGCTGCATCGTGGTGCTGCGCTTGCGGCGCTGCCGCACCAGGAACGTGGTGTATATGACCACATTCAGCACCAGGAAGATGGCAATGAGCGCGATGAGCAGCTGCAGCGTGGTCTCCGATTTGGCAATGGGCTCGCCGGGAGCCACCGGGGAGGGCGATGCCCCGTACTCCCCGTAATCGCTGTTGGGTGTCGCCTCCTCCACGGAAGTGGTGGCCACGCCTTCGCTGCCCTGCTGCTGCTGGTGCTGCTGGTGCTGCTGCTGCAGCCTGTGCACGTGGCCGAATGTGGGCGGGGCATTGTACATGTTTTCCGCAGCTGTTTCGAGCTGCTCGCTGCCCGTCGCCACCGGCTCCTGGAGCAGCAATTTGAGAGTACGCACCGGATCCTCGGCGCCATTGTCACGCGGCCCGTACTTACTCATGTGGCCCGTAATCACCTCGTTTCCGGCCAGCTGCTGCTGCTGTATGGCGGCAATTTGATTCAACTCGTCCGGCAGCTCTTTGTTCCAGAAGTTCATATAGATCTGACGGTACTTGTAGCCCACTGTCGGCGGAATGCCTACGCAAATCAAAAGCGCGAACATGAATGCGATAAGATATCAGAGTACTTGGAGAGGGCATGCAAATTGAGCGAGCTCTACTCACCAATATTGAGATAGGCCTGGGCACGCTTGTTGAACTCTGGCCAATCCAAGTCATAGCGATCCCACTCCAACACATGGGAGTTCAGAAATGTGCCCTTCCAAGGTGCTTTCGGGTTTCTAAGTGCGTAGATTTATGATCATAAGTATATAAATGTAAAATAAATATAAAATAAATTATTTTACTACGAGAGAGTATATAAATTTAGCAGAGTATCTCATATTATTCCCATTTGCCCCTTACTCTCAAATATTCATGTTGGTCTCGCCTTAAGCCGCATTTGCTCTAATATTTCCTGCTTTCTTTTGCCTTTCAATCTCATGCTCCACTGCTAATGACCTCGCAGATATTAGCCAAAAACTGAATATCCAAAGAGTGGAGTGGAGAAAGGAGTAAGGCAAAAATATAATCCGAAATGTCTGCTAACGATCTCTGATTTTGGCTTTGATTGCCATTTGGCTGGAGGGGCGCAGCGCATTGCCACTAATAATATTTGCATGTCCTGCTTATGGCCCGTTTTGGAGTTGTTTTTGCATCGAAATAATCATAAAAACGGCAGTAAAAATTCTATTCATTTCGCTGTCCGAGCGTTGCAGATTGCAAAACGTGCCGCAGCCCAGCTCCCTGCATATCGCATTCGCAATGGCATTCGCAATCGCATCCGTAGTCTCTGTCGCATTTGCATGCAGAGCTGCGACTAGTCGTGTAGCCCGACACCCACAGCCTCCCTCGCTGCTGGCCCACTGGCCGTTCCACTCTTCTCTTTCTGCGGATGCCGCCCCCCGCTGCGTTTCCAATCGCTAACTCTCAGCAAATGCACTCTTCAATTCGCCCTTGGCTCAGACACTACTCACCCGGTCTTCACGAAGTTCGTCCAATATGCCATTACCGCCTCGGAAAGCAGCTTTTCCTGCACGGAATAGTTGTGGCTGGGAAATGGGCCGGCCGGCGCCAGCGGCGCACCAAAAACGAACGCCAGCTCCTCGCCCATTATGCTATGCGGTAGCTGCAATTGAAACAGATGAGCAGGCACATTGAGAAATAAGAAATATTTCAAATACTCTTACTTAGTGTGAGGAAATAAAGGAAAATAATAAAATATTCAGTTTAGGCATTCTATAAATATTAAATTATCTCAGGAGTGAATATTCTCTTAATATTAAATACATCAAATAAAAAAATAAAAAATGAAAATAATA